ACTACACTACACACTACACACACACACACTACACTACACACTACACACTACACACACACACACACACACACACACACACACACACACACACACACACACACACACACACACACACACACACACACACACACACACACACACACACACACACACACATATATATATATATATATATATATATATATATATATATATAAATATACTCGCACATAAGGAGCAAGTTCAAGACTACATTACATTGATATACCAATGATGTATAAGGGATATCCACAAAAAACCCCGTTGCATATTGAGCCTCTCAACCTAATCCCACGCGCACACGTACGTATACCAACAGTATCAATAACACCTGTAGGTGTGGTTGTTGTTGTTTCTGTGTATACATAGCACGGGCAAGGCATAGTCTTACCTCTACGAGCATCCGACACACTGCTCAGTTGGTCTAAGAACTGGATTGTCTCGGGCGTTTTGTCATTGACTATGCGCACGATGTGGTGCAGGAGAGTGGACCTGTTATCGCCCGTTTTGGTGTTGCTCAGCTGTACGAGGACGCAGGCGAATGGCCGAATGGGGCGGGGGTATGGGGTGAGTCTATCGAGAAGGATGTAGAAACCCTAAACCCTAAACCCTAAAACGGCATGGACAGGAATGATAGTCATGTCACACACACCTACACCCACGTTCCATTGACATAAGACAGGGTGAGAGCGAGTGTGTGTGATCACTGGGGAGTGGTTCTAAACCCTAAAACCCTAAACCCTAAAACCGAATCACTCCCCAGCCTACGTGTATGAAGCCAGACTCAGAAGACATACAATACAAACCTTTTGCTTCTAAAACCCTAAAACCCTAAAAACAAGCAGGGGTTCCATGGCGATGTGGCTCGATGTACACGTACCTTGTTGATGAACTCGATCTGAAACCCTCCCACGGCCTGGCCCCTGGGCACACTAGCGTTCATGTAGTTACCGACAAACAGGATCATCTGCCATCCACCGATGTGTGGGAGGCGAAGGTGAAGAGTGTGAGAAAGCGAGTGGAGATAGAGTACTGGTCGAGGTAACCTATAGCATACTATGGGGTATAGGGCTTCAGAATGTTAGTGTTTTAGGGTTTTAAGGTTTTAGGGTGTCTGCTACTGTACGGGCTACTATGGCATGCACCACACTCGCGTTCATACAACTGAGCCAAACAAGATCAAATGGTCTCCACAATACAAAACAACAGTACAACAGCACAAGCAACGAGGGCATGGTCCAAGCCAAGGAGAAGTAGTACAAAGTATGAGACTACAGTACAAGCAAACAGGAAGTAGTATAATGTATGAGACTACAGTACAAGCGAAGGAGAAGTAGTATAAAGTAAGAGGCTACAGTACAAGCAAACAGGAAGTAGTATAATGTATGAGACTACAGTACAAGCAAACAGGAAGTAGTTTAAAGAATGCGACTACAGTACAAGCCAAGGAGAAGTAGTATAAAGGATCAGACTACAGTACTAGCAAACAGGGAGTAGTATAATGTATGAGGCTACAGTACAAGCCAAGGAGAAGTAGTACAAAGGATGGGACTACAGTACAAGTAAACAGTAGATAGTATAAGGTACGAGACTACAGTACAAGCAAACAGTATGGTTCTATTTTAACAGTTTGTGATTCTCAACTAACTCTTGACTACATACAACTCAATTCTATACGAATCACTACCTGTATGATTCTGTATTAACAGTTAGTGATTCTATATCAACATTCGGCTCTATATAACTATATAACTCTAATTGTATACGAGAGGTACTATCACTACCTGTACGATTCTGTATTAACAGTTAGTGATTCTTTATCCACACTTGGCTCTATATAACTATATAACTCTAATTATAAACGAGAGCCACTATCACTACCTGTATGATTCTGTATTAACAGTGAGTGATTCTATATCAACACTTGGCTCTATATAACTATATAACTCTAATTATATACGAGAGCTACTATCACTACCTGTATGATTCTGTATTAACAGTGAGTGATTCTATATCAACACTTGGCTCTATATAACTATATAACTCTAATTGTATACGAGAGCTATTATGTGGCTACTGGTACTGCTATATGATTTACAATACACGCCCTGCGATACAACGAAACGAAAAGGAGGATGGAGACTTTGGATGTGATATCACAAAGCTAAGTGTCTATGCTGTTAAATAGTACTTGATACTCGCAGCAGCACCCACCTGCAATACAGACTACGCATAGTAGTAGAGTTAATATCTGGATGCTCACACTACAATAGGACGTTGCTCATACCTCCAACAGATTCTTAAAGTGCTTGCTCGTCTTCAACTCCACAGCAGCCAATCGAACCGCATCGATCTCCTGGGCAACGAAGGGACACCCAATCAGAATACAGATAATAGAATCAGGATTGAATCAATCAGGTGGACGCATTCCGACCACATGCTACGTTTAAGTATTCAGAATTTAAGGGTTATGACTCACCCAATTGACATACATTCAGTTGTGTCAGTAGGAAAGTATCTATGTATTAGTCACTACAAGTACACTGAAACTTTACCTATAGTGGACACCCACCACCTTA